TGGAATCATACAAAGTTTGTCCTTTTGTTTCTGGCTTATTCACTTAGCACAATGTCTTTAAGGTCCATCTATGTTGTAGCGTGTGTCAGAATTCTCTTCCTTTTCAAGGCTGAATAATATTCCGTTGTCTGTATGTATACCATATTTTGTTGATCTATTCATCCATCAATGAACATTTGGGTTGCTTCTGTCTTTTGGCCACTGTGAATAATGGTGCTATGAACATGGGTGGACAAATATTTGTTTGAACCTCTGCTTTCAATTCTTTTGGGTATATATCCAGAAGTGGAATTGCTGGATCACATGGTAATTGTATGTTTAATTTTTATGGAACAGCTATGTCATTTTCCACAGCAGCTGCACCATTTTACATTCCCACCAACACTGCGTGAGGGTTCCAATTTCTCCATATTGTCACCAACACTTATTTTCTGTTTTTTTTTTTTAATTAAAATTTTTTTTTATAATAGCCATCCTAATGGGTGGGAAGTGGTATCTCATGGTGGCTGGTCCATTTTTTAATGTCTAAATTCAGCCTCTCTTCTGCAGTCCTCAGTGTTTTCTTGCTGTCTCGGCTGTCTTCACAGTATTTCTGTGAGATGAGGCCCATTCTCCCATAACAGATGGAGAAAGGAGGCCCTGGAACCTGCCTTAGAAGTGGGAACGGCCATGTCCCCCTTTACTCTGCGTGCACTGCAGGCCCGTGGGGAGTCATCCTGAGCCAGAATGTGGGCCGTGGGAGGAAGCACATGACTCAGTCTGGGCCCTCACCTCTGCAGTGGGTCTTCTGGGGCACGGACAGTCCAATACTTGCTGGCTCAGGGCAAAAGATACTTGTGGCTGTTCCTAATGTAGCTTTTGGTTGTTTTCATTGGATTAGAAGAGAACTCCATGAGTTCTGGCTGAGGGTTTCCATGGCAGATTCACGGGACACAGCCCAAATCCAGCCCTGATTCTCAGAAGGAACTAAAGCAACCTTTCAAGCTTTCAAAGTATAATTTAGGGTGAGCTGCTTGTAAACTGACGCAGAGCAGATGCCAAGTGATTGATAATCAAGGGTGCCCTCCTGGACTGGCCAGGAGCTGTTCGTGGCTCCATTTTGCACATGGCAATACCAGGGCTAATGAAAATAAAAATTTCAGCTAACACTTACTGTGGTGTGTGATATGTACCTGACACGGTTCTAAGTGGTTTATATTATTAGCTCTCTTAATTCTCAGAACATCTTTATGAGGTAGGGACTATTATTATCTCCATTTTACTCATGAGGAAACAGAGGCCCAGGGTGATTAAGTAACTTGTCTAGTGTCACACAGCTGGTGAATGGAGTTGGGAGGTGAACCCAGGCAGCTTGGCCTCAGACTCAGGCCTTGGGAGATCTGAAGACAGGATCAAAGTCAGAGGCCTGACTTAATAAGACATTACTTTTCCTAAGCACTTCATAGTTTGTAATGTTTTTGTATGTTGTATTTAATCTTCATAATAGCTTCGTGAGGCAGACCTTCATGTCAGTTTCTTTTTGACAGAGGTGCAAACCGAGGCCTAGAGACATTCAGGGGTTTTCTTAAGAAAGCTGGCATGGGGTGCTGGCGACGATGTGGAGAGAAGGGAACCCTTGTGCACTGTTGGTGGGAATGTAATTGATACAGCCACTGTGGAAAACAGTATGAAGGTTACTAAAAAAATTAAAAATAGAAATACTATATGATCCAGCAATCCCACTTCTGGGAATAGGTCCAAAGGAAATGAAAACAGGCTATTGAAGAGATATCTGCACTCCGGTGTTCATGCTGCATTACTCACAATAGCCAAGACACAGAAATAACCTAAGTGTCCATCAGTGGATGAGTGGATAAAGAAGATGTGGTGTATATACACAGTGCAATATTATTCAGCCATGAGAAAGAAAGAAATCCTGCCATTTGTTACAACATACATGGACCTTCAGGACATTATGCTAAGTGAGATAAGTCAGACAGAGAAGGACAAACACTACGTGATATCATGTATATGTAGAATCTGAAACAGCTGTATCTCATAGAAACAGAGAGAAGGACGGTGGTTACCAGGGGCTGGGCTGGGAGGAACTGGGGAGATGGTGGTCAAAGGGTGCAAACTTGCAGTTAGAAGATGAGCAAGTTCTGGAGATCTAATGCACGACATGGTGATTATAGCTAAAAAACTGGATTATATACTTCAAAGTAGCTAAGAGACTGGGTCTGAAATGTTCTCACCACAAAGAAGAGATGATAATTCTGTGACGTGATAGAGGTGTTAGCTATGGTGGCAAACATCACAATATATAAATGTATCAAATCAACAGGTTGTACACTTCAAACTTACACAATGTTATATGTGAATTATATCAAAAAACAAAAAAAGAATGCAAGGAGAGAAATAAAATAAGACAGCTGTTGTGGAGCTGCCCTTGACCCTGTCTGCCTGCAGGTCACTTCTTTTCCATAATGCGGCTGGGCGGCAGGGCTGGCTTGGCCAAGGCTGAGCAGAGAGCCGCTTCCTCAGCTGGGTGCCCGCGGGGCCGCTGCCCCGGCAGCTTGGTCGCCCACGTGGTGAGCACGGCTGCACAGGGGGGCTCGCAGAGCAGTGGGAGCCGGGTGGAGCTGGGCGCAAGTGTGGGAGGCGCTCAGAGGCCCCCTGGGCCAGGAAAGAAAGTGGGGCAGCTGGGCCACTCCTAAGGGCTGGGGGTTTGCCCTCTGTCCTGTGTGCAGCGGGGCGCGGAAGGCCTTTGAGGAAGAGAGGGGCGGGGTCAGAGCCGGGCCTGGAGACTGGGTGAAGCCTGTGTGACCAGCGGCTGGGGCCTCACCTCGCTCAGCTCCAAAAACCTGTCTTCATGGTCTGCACGTGACTTCCTTCCGCCGCCTGGCTGTCTGTCTGTGAGGTTGCCGTCTCTCAGGGTCACTGGCCTTTGCAGGGCACGAGCGTCTGTGTTTAGTTTGCAGTCGAGTGACTGCAGAGCCTGGCCCGGGCATCCCTGTCTGAGCCGCTCACCACACCGCAGGGCAGGCGTCGTGATGTCGTGGCCTCCGCAACTTACAGACCAGCCAACTGGGCACCGAAACCTCAGTTTTCTTCCTGGGGTGGCTTTCTCCCTCCTCTTTCTCTGGAAAATCCCTAGTGACCTTTCTAGACTCAGCGGGTTCCACCCTCTCCCGCGATGGCTCCCTGCTCCCCCTCGGAACAGGAGTGCTGCTGCCCTCAACTCTGACAGCACTCCATCTGTCCGTCTCCACTGGGTCAGAAGTGCTTATGTGTCTCATTTCCCGGCCTGGCTCTGAGGGCCTTGAGGGAGGGGTCTGGTCCTTGTCTCTGTGCCCAGCCAGGACCTGGCACAGGCATCCAAGAATGTGGACTGCCCGCTGGCCGTGCTCTAGGCACCAGACTACAGCAACGAATGGACCGAAGAGGATTCCCCGCTGCCCTCGTGGAGCCCACAGCTACAGGATTCTCTGCGTGTGACCTCCACTTCCACAGTGCCTTCTGAGGGACAGACCTCATGCTGCCTTCCTCAGAGCTGGGGGATGATCTGTTTCAAGAAAGAGTGTTTGACAACTTGAGAAGCAGAAGTGCTGTTTCAGGACCGGGGCTGTTTACAAGGTGTCCTCCAGATGGAACAGAGCACAGTTCTCTGACCGTGTAGGTTGCAGGTGTTGCCACCTGTGCGTGCCTTGGGGTTGCAGTTGAGGTAGACTGCGGGTGGGGTTACTCCCAGGGCCGTGGCCTGCTTGGGCCAGTGTGGTCACTAGTCACGCCCAGTTGGAGGCACACAGCCAGCTTCAAGAGAAGGACTGGATTTTGGAGGCAGACGGGGCCTGCCAAGATGCAGTCAGACTACAGAAAATGATTTTGATTCTAGCCCTTGCCTGTAGCGCCCCTCGTGGCAGCTCCTGGGTCCAGGGCTCCCTTTTGAGTTCCAGAAGCAGCGACATGCAGATGTCTTTTCAAGGCCGCTCGGTTGAGACAGGGCCTGCCTTGAGGGACACAAAAAGCCAGAAGGCTGGAGATAGGGGTGTGTTGGAGCCTTGTAAACTGTGGAGTGACAGCTATCAAAGGACCCTCTCCCCCTCCCTCCAACACACTCCCCCAGCTGTCAAGGCCACAGGAAACCAGAGGAGGGGCACCAGAAAAGGACATGGTGTCTCCAACAGCTCATCCTGTGATAGCAGAAAGGACAGTGCCTGGCCTGGCTTGACCACTCAGCCAGCTGCACAAGGCACTGTCCTTTCCTGGGCCTCAGTTTCCACATGAGTAACACGAGAGGACTGGACTGGGTGGTCTTAAATGCTCTTTTGGCATTTGGTAGGCAAGAGCAGGGGCTCTGCTGTCAGACACATCTGGTTTTAAAACAAAGGGGGCTTCAGAGGTGGCGTCCATGTGGTGGGAAGAGATGCACGAGTGTTAGAGCCACACACGCCTGGGTTCCAATCCGAGCCCTGCCCCTTATTAGCTATTTCCCTTTGGGCAATATTTACCCTCCCAGAGCTGGGCTTCTGTGCAGAGTGACGGGCCCTCCTCCTGGGTGGTGGGAAGAGTCTACAATGAGACATGCAGGGAAAGGTAGGAGCCCAGGGCTTGGCACAGAGAAAGCCCTCAGTCATTGCAGGTGATGGCACGGTATTTGGAGATGCTGACCACTTTGACAGGTGCCCCTGAGGCTAGGTGGATGGGCACCGGGTTTGAGAGGCTGCTATGAGCCCAGCACTCCCAGGAAGAAATACATATGGAGATGTAACCATCCAAAGGTTGCTTGCTCATCCTGGAACAGGGCCACAGGAATAGCCAGATGACCCTAAAGTGCCATGAGTGTCTTTACCCCCAGAGCGACAGGCTAGCCCCAGGGTTGCTGGCTAGAGCTGGGCCTGCCCTGCCATCCCGGGGGCTCCGAGCCTCCATGTAGCTCCTGGCCTGCGCCTAGTCTCTGCTTGTGCAGTGTACAGCCTGGGCTGCGGGGCTGGGCAAACATGCTCTCCATCCGTTTCCAGTGCGTCGGTCCAAGGCGGCGGACGAGGAGCAGAGCCGCCGCGCCCAGCGCGCCCGGGACGAGTACCGGCGCCACTCGTTGCGCGCCATCCAGAAGGGCACGGTCGCCGGCCTCAGCTCCATGTTCCGAGAGCTTGGCCAGAGCCACGAGGAGGCCAGACTCTACCACCACCTTCCGGGGCTTGGTCCGCCTCTGCCCCTCTCGGTGCCTGGCAGGTGGGTCGGGGGCTCCGCGTGGTGGGGTTGGGGGAAGGGCCTTGGGCTGGAGCATGGGGCACGGGGACCCAGTCCCGGCTCTGCTTCCGAATTACTGTGAAACTGGGGGCTAGTCGTTTCCCCTCTGTGGGCCTCAGTGTCTATAATGGGGCGAAAGGGGGTGGGGAGGAGAGAAGTCGAGGTGGGAGATTTCTGGTAACTCTGAAGTTGGGCATCCTAAACCTTTTTACAGTCTAGGATTCCTTTGAGAATCTAAAGAAAGCTGTGTACCCTCTCCACTCCAAAATGTGCATGTAATTTCAAGCGTTTAAAGGTCCACAGACCCCACGTAAAGAACTTGTAATATAAGACCTCAAATGGGTTAAATACCTGGAATTAATAAATTAGTTAATTTAATTAATAAATTAAATACCTGGAAACCACAGGCGGTGCTGGTGCATCCCGGGTTCTGAGAACAGGTGTGCGCATGAGTGTGGCGGAGTGCAGGAGGGTCCCACACACAGCGGTGTTTCCAGAGGGGTTTGGCAAGGGCACTGCAGTGACTGCTGGTGATTTCCAGGCCAGAGGGTCAAGAGGTTGCCTGGAGCCTCTCCATCTTCCACCTGGGCCTACCTTAGGCCAGCCCCAAGGTTGGTCCCCCCACCCTTACACGCCCCATCATTGTTGAACATTGTTTTCTTTTTACAGCTGCATAGTATTCCACTGCAGGGATGTGCTATAATTTATTTATCAAAAACTCTATTAAGGGACATTGGTGGTGTTTTAAATCTTAGGTTATTACCAATATTGCCCTTAACAAATAACCTTGTAGACATTAATTTTATACACATACAATTATTATCTACAGGGGAGAGTCCGGAAGTGGGATCACTGGTTGAGGGTGTGTGCGTTCACAGCGGTGATCATTATTGTCAGATCGCCCTCCCCGGGGCTGGTACCAATGAACGCCCTCTTCCTTGAGCTTTGCCAACAGTAAGGTGTCAGATAATATCTCAGTGAAAGTTTAAATTTGCATTTCTATTTATGGGTGGGATAAAGTGTTTGAGTATGTTTAAGAGCCATTGGTATTTTCTTATCTGCCTATTCATTCCCCTACCTGGTTTTTCATTGTGTTATTGGTCTTTTGCTCATCTATTTCTAGGAAGTCCTTAGATATTAGGGAAGAGGACCCTTTTGTTTGTGATAAACATTTTTTTCTCAGTTTGTCATTTGTCTTTTGACTTTTGAGATGAAACTTTCTGTCACGCAAGAATTCTTTTTTTTTCTTGTGAGGAGAACTTTTTTATCTTTGGTGAGGAAGATTGGCCTGAGCTAACATCTCTGCCAGTCTTCTTCCACTTTGTATGGGGACGCTGCCACAGCCTGGCTTGATGAGTGGTGTGTAGGTCCGTGCCCGGGGTCTGAACCTGCAAACCCTGGGCAGCCAAAGCAGAGCACGTGAACTTAACCACTATGCCACTGGGCCAGCCCCCACTCAGGAATTCTTGATTTTTATGAGGTCAGATTTTCTTTTATGTTTCCTGGATTGGGAGACATAGTTAGAAAAGCTTTCTTCCCTGTGTGCTTTTTTTAAGGAAACAGATAATTTGCCCTTCGGGCCCATGTGACAGCACTGCATGGACTGTGGGCAGCCTGGCTCTGGGCTGGCTGTGTGTAATTGTCAGTAGTGACTGCCACCATGAGCCACTGAGGGGGCCGGGGGCCATGCAGATGGAGCGGCAGATCCGGGCACCGGGAGGCCATGCATCAGCCTCCCTGCTGTCGCTGCCTATGGGACTGCCCGAGCACTGTGGTGCGGGCACTGGCCGGCACGCCCTTGTCTGGCTGTCTGGCTGTGCTGAGGGGCGGGAGTGAGGCTTCTGGCCAGGTGGCCTCTCGGAGCACATCATCCTAGTGTTCGTGTTCTGGTGAATCAGGTTCTCTGCTTAGAAACAGAGGGAGAGGAGTGAATGAATTTCCTTTGCTGTTATTTATAACCTCCTCTTGCCTTCTAAGGAGAATGAGTCCTAGACACCAGAGAATTTTTTCCCCTGAGCACAGTTATTTAATGGGGAATGCAAGTGTGAAGGAAGAGGCTGGGGCAGGGCTGCAGTGTGCTGCCTAATAGAGAGGGAAGGCATCTGGGCTCACCGAGAAGGGGCAAATCCCACCAGTCAGATACAGCGGGAGTGAAGCTGGCTGGAGGGCATAAAGGAGAGCCTAGGGCTGCAGCAGTGGGAAAGTGGGGATGGAGAACCAACTCCACTGATGATGGCTGTGAGCCGTGCAATGGAACCTCACCCTCGGTCTGTCTTATGACGTTCTGCCTAAGATCCGCACGGTTCCCTGCTGTGTGAGTATGTGTGTGTGTGTGTGAGAGGATTCCTTTTGGGGTAGGTAAAAATATGAACTCATCCTGGGGTTTGCACGGAAGTGCTGAACTCAGCACCAGTGTGGGTGCAGGGCAAACACAGAGACAGCTGACGTTGATTTATAGAAAATGAGCACAACAGTAGGGGGTTCTAAATGCCAGTGCTCTCAGGTGGCTACAACGACCCAGCAAGAATGTACCAGGTTTCTGTCACTCAGCTGAAAATATGAAAAGGCTGTGGTTGTTCGACTTGCGTCAAAGAGCTGCTCTTCAGGTGCTGTATTTGCAGACTGTAAATTGATGCAGTGTGGTCTTGTCCTTAGTGCCCTTGAGTCACTTCCGACTCCCAGACCCCGTGCACAGCAGAGGGAGCCCTGCGAGGTCTTTCTGCGCCATCCTCTCACCTTACGGTGCTCTATCTGCCATTCATGGAGTTTTCGTGGCCAATTTTCTCGGAAGTGGGTGGCCAGGTCCTTCTTCCTAGTCTCTCTAGTCTGGAAGCTCCGCTGACACCTGTCCACCATGGGTGACCTGCTGGTGTTTGAAATCCCGGTGGCAGAGCTTTCAGCATCACAGCCACACAAAGCCACCACTGTGTGACAACAGACAGACGGGGTTAGGGCTGTGGTTCTCTAACTAGGAAATGAGCCCAGGGCACAGTCATGAGAGCACTGAATCTTAACCACTAGACCACCAGGGCTGGCTGTAGTGTGATCTTACTACATATTAACTCAACAGATGGTTAGTGTGTGCCTGGTGGGTCGTGTGCTGTGCTTCATGCTAGTGTAGCTCAAACGTCACAGGGGTCTCGTGCAGCCCAGTCTCTGTGTGCATTCAAGAACCACAATTCAGACACAAAAGCAATGAAAATCTTGGCTTACTTGTGAGAAAACCTCAAAAAGTATGGAATTCATTACTCATAAATTCTTCCGGTGCCCCATTCACTCACCCTCAGAGCCCCTTCCCTGATGGTCAGGAGTCAGCCAGTGTGTGGGGGGGGGGGCCTTCGGTCCTTCCCCTCCCCCTGTCATCTGTCCTCATCCTTTTCATTTCTTGCTGCTGAATCTCAGCCATTTCCAGAGCAGATCCAGGTTCTTGGTTTCTCTCTCTGTTCACTGTCCTGATTCTGCCTCACAAAAGCGTGGAAGGTAGCTGGCGAAGGCAGGGTCCCCTTGGAAGGCAGGGGAGGGGGACATGGAGGGCGAGACAGGATTCTCTTTGGGGGGAGGGGGGCGGAGGACACTCATGCATTCATAATTTTCCTCCTGTCACATTGGGATCCTTCTCATAGGTGACGTTGTTTATGCCCTGGCCTTTCTAGAAGGAAAAGATGCCATTTCTTTCCCTCAGATATCCCCTCCTGTCCTCTTTTCCACTCCCACCTATGTGGCTTTTTTTTTTTTTTTTTAAAGATTTTTTTTTTTTATTTTTTCCCCCCAAAGCCCCAGTAGATAGTTGTGTGTCATAGCTGCACATCCTTCTAGTTGCTGTATGTGGGACGCGGCCTCAGCATGGCCGGAGAAGCAGTGCGTCGGTGCGAGCCCGGGATCCGAACCGGGGTCACCAGCAGTGGAGCGCGCTCACTTAACCACCAAGCCACAGGGCCGGCCCTTCAAAGCAAGTAATAAAAGTTATCTTTTGAGAAAAACAGTAATTGCTGGTACATTATAATGCGCAAAGTACCTTCAGTACCTGGACTCATCTAGTCCTCTCCACAGGCACGAGTGTGGGCATCGTGCGTGTTCACTCTCACAGTGGGCTTCCCCTCCTTCCTCCTCCCTCCTCCCCTCTCCTCCCCCTCCCTCCTCTTCCCTCCTCTCTCCCTCTATCCGTCCCTCCCTGACTCCCACACTCCACCTCTCTTCTCAGCAGGACTTGGGAGCGCCCACTGCGTCCTGTCTCCAGAGAAGTCATAGTCCGCTGGTTTCGGGAGGAGCAGCTGCCTCGTCGAGCTGGCTTCGAGAGGAACACCAAGTCCATCGCCCCTTGGTTCCACGGTAGGATGGCTCTCTGGGCCCCGGGGCAGATAATTCCCAGCTCTTGGCCTCCCTGGTCAGAGGGAGTCCTGAAGGACTCCTATAATCAGGGAAGGAGAGGACTTGAGACTCTGCTGATTCTGCTCTGCCCCACAAGGACTGGCCAGTCTCCCGGCGTTGGGAATGAGCTTCCTGGCTGGCCGGAGGGGGGAGTGGGGGAGGCCCTGTGCTATCCTTTATCTGCCACTGAGTATGCTGAGTTCAAGGTGCAAGCTTTGATTTCCCAGGGGCGCGTGCTGAGACACTGAGCCCTTAGAGACCAGGGCACACCGTCTCTGGCTGAGTCCTGGAGACCGGAGGCACTCAGCGTTCTGCGCCCCCCCACTGCTCTCACCTCACAGCCTCCTTGGCCATCAAAGGCTCCTGAGAGGCATCTCCTCTATGCTCACAAGACAGTGAGCTGTCAGTGGACCGCGAGCTCCTAGTGGGCAGGGCCCACATTTCGTGGTCTGAGCCTGCATCCCTGGATCCTGGCCGTGGCCTGGCATGCAGCAGGCTCTGAGCAATTACTTGTTGATTGATGACGGAATGACTGAATGAGAAAGTCAGAGTCCTCCACACAAAACGTTAGAGCTGGAGGCTCCCTGCAAGTGTCTAATCCCTTCATTCTGCAGATAGGAAAACAAGCCCAGAGAGGGGAGGATATTTTCATAAGGTCACCGAGAGACTTGTAAAGTCAAGTTCAAGGCTATATCTCAAGCCTCGTGACCCCAGTCCAGGGATCTGACCATGCAGAGGCCCTAAACAGGGAACCTGAATTGGGATTTTAGCAGAGACTTGCTACAGAGAAACAGAAGGGGCTCCTGGCCATCAAACCCCTCTGTATCAGTTAGCGATTGCTGCGTAACAAATCACGCCAAAACTCAGTAGCTTAAAATGAATAAGCATTTATTATTTATTCATGAGTTTGTGAATCAACTGGGCAGTTCTTCTGGAATGGGCCAGGCTCAGATGATCTGAGCTGAGCTGGGTCATGCGTCTCCAGACAGGTAACAGGTCAGCTGGAGGCTGGCTTATCCAGGAATGCCCCAGCTGAGATGTCTGTTCTCTGCTCCACGTAGTCTCCTGGTCTCCAGTAGCCCACAGACTCTCAGGTTTCATGCTCGCTGAGTCTCCCCTTCCTCATCAGCACTGAGGATTCCCCTGGTCAGAACTGACCTCTCCTGCCACGGCTAGCACCCATCCGTTTCTCTCCTGCCAGCCTGCTGGGAGCTTGATCAGCCTCCCCCTTGGCCTGCGTTTCCCCTGGTGATGTGGACTGCCCACCTGCTCCCTGGCCAGCTTCCGTGTGTTCTCAGTTCCACCCAGATGGAGAGGAACCTGGTGTCATGGTGGGCACTAGAGACTCTGGGGTCTTGAGGGCAGACAGGGAGGCCTTCACGGGCAAGCTCTGGGCAGGGCAGCCCCGGGAAAGGCAGCTGGAGTGATCAGAAGACATCGTGCAGGGGAGTGAGGCCACGTGCACCATCATCCCTGCCGACAGGAGCCCACGGAGTCTGGCAGCCACACAGTGCAAGCAGTAGACACACTCTGCAGTGGGGATGGCTGAGACCTGGCACTGTGCAGGGTCTGCCCAAGGTCACAAAGGTTGTGGCACCACCCAGTCCAGTCTGCAGGAGTGTCCTCATCGGTATGTCTCCTTAACTCTGGCCCCTCTACAATCCACCCTCCACACAGCATCCTGAGAGTCTTGGACATATAAATCAGATCCCGTCGCTCCCCTGTTCAGTGCCCCTGCCTCCCTTCGTACTTGCAGTGAACTTCAAGCTGCATCCCGGGGCCCCCAGGGTGGCGGGGCCTGCTTCCCACTCCAGCCTCATGGCATTGTTCTCCCCTTGCCTGCCTTGCTGCCATAGCTCTGGCTTTTTTCCTCTTCCTCAAACAAGCCCTTTTCTTCTCCACCTCCAGCCCTCTGCACTTGCTGTCGCTCTACTTGCTATTGCTCTTTTTCTGCATGGCTGACACGTTCTCATTTCTCATCTCAAACATCCCCTCCTCAGAGAGGCCTTTCCTAGACCCTTTACCTAAAGCAGGCTTCTCCAGTTTCTCTCAATTCACCCTGCTTATTTCCTTAAAAGTACTCACCCAATTGGTATTTATCTTGTTATTTGCTTATTGTCTGTTCTCTTACCTGAATGTAAGCCTGTGAAACTAAGGCCCTTGTCCATCTTCCGCAATGCCTACCACAGTGAGCCTCCCTGGGAAGGATGGATGACAGTGGAAGTGAAGAGTCAGAGTTGGGATTAGACCCTAGTCTTTCCAGTTCCAGAGAGCAGCCCTTGCTTCTCTGCAGTGGGCGCTGGTGGGTGAGTCCCCGTAGGGCCTGATGGTGAGGGTAAGCTGGGAGCAACCAGAACGCGAGAGGTGAGGCTCGCCTTCCCGGTCGTGTGCTCCTCCAGGCCGGGGCCCAGGTCTCGGGAACCTCTGTAGTCAGCCGTCCCCTCTGCTTCTCGCCCGCCCGGGGTCAGGCGCAGAAGTCCATCTGAGACACTTGCCGTCTTTCTCCGTTGCCACTGTTGTCGAGCTCTCCAACTCAGTTACTGTCCCCTGTTGTGTCAGTCAGATTACTCCTGGTTATGCCGCTGTGACAAATGACCCAAAATCTCAGTGACTTCCACCAACCGAGACTCATTTCTTACCCATGTTATGTGCCCACTGGGGGTTGGTTGTGGACTTTGATCTGGCCCTCAGCCTGAAGTAGCTTCCTCTGTTGGAAACTCTGCTGGTCTCCTGACAGAGGGAAAAGGAGGCCTGGCCAGCCATGTATGGGCTCCTGAAGCTTCTGCCTGGAACTGGCACATGCCATCGTTCTCCCGTTTCTCTGGCCAGAGCCAGCCTGGCATCTGCAGCGTGGATGGTTTTGAATGACAACAGTCTGTTATAAGCACCGTCCACTTCTAGAGCCCTTCATGCTCTCAGGCCTCCACGTACTCTACAGAAGGATGCAGTGGCTTTTTATGGCTCAGAAAGAAGACAGTCAGCATTCACAGGTGACTGAGCCTCGTGTCCCTGGAGCTGGTCTTGGGGATCTTCTGTCCCTGGAGCCCCTGAGAGAGCTTCCGTTGGGATCACTGCTTTCCTTTTCATTCTGTGTCATGATCATCACAGGAACACAGCATCTTAGGCATCTGTATAGTGCAACCCAAATCTTCCGTGGATGCGGGGGTTTGGCAGGGGTGCCGGTTGCTCTGCAGTGCTTGCAGCAGCCGGTGGAGAAGGCACGACGGAGGTGCTCAAATTTATCTTGAGCTTTATTTTGTGATGAAAAAACGTTAACTTTATATTGTCACAGAACAAACAGAACCATGATTTAAGTCTTGAAGTTTATGTGACTGATTTCATGTTCTTTTGACAGCTCCACCATAAAGCATGCAGGAAAGTTACCAATACATGGACTGGAGCTATTTAGTAACAAAGTTTTCATTGATCTGTGACAGAATGAAAGAAAAAGGCTCACATCTGGAGGGTGGCCAATTCTTTGCTTGGAAAGGACTGTGTCGTGTTCTAAGTGATATTCTTTCCTCAGTTTTAGTGTTAGAATGTCCTTTCTTTTATGAATTGATGGTGATATTAAGCAGTAGTTATTTTAATATATTGCCTTTGCTCAGAAGAGCAAAAAGGGGCCGGCCCCGTGGCTTAGCAGTTAAGTGCGCGCGCTCCGCTGCTGGTGGCCCGGGTTCGGATCCCGGGCACACACCGACGCACTGCTTGTCTGGCCATGCTGAGGCCGCGTCCCACATACAGCAACTAGAAGGATGTGCAACTATGACATACAACTATCTACTGGGGCTTTGGGGGAAAAAAATAAATAAATAAAATTATAAAAAAAAAAAAAAAAAAGAAAAGCAAAAAGATGGCAGCTCCAAGTTGGTTTCCAAACTCTTTAAACGAACTTTACTCATACCTAAAACCCCCAAGTCTGGAACTACTGGTACGGCCCAACTTCTTCCCCAGTGTAGGATTTCCCTGACAGCATCCCTGGTAGGACTCTCCAGTACGAATCTTTCCCGCGTTGGAGCCTACTGTCCCACAGGCTGCCTGCACCAGTCTAATTGTTAGGGAGTCTTTGCTGCGGGTTGGCTGGGGACGCTGCTCTTGACTGGTCTTGGCTGGGCATCTTAGCGGGGGTGGCTCTGCTCCCTGTATCTCTCGTGCTCCTCCTGGGCCCAGTAGGCTTGCCCAGGCATGGTCTTCTCAGGGACCAGAGAGCAAGTGGCAGCAGGCTAGGCCCTTGAAGTCTAGTCTTCGAACCAGCACACTGTCGGTTTCACCTCCTGCCGTTGGCCACAATATATCACAGAGCTGAGTGGTGGGAAAATATATTCTGCTCCTTTTGTGTGAGGGACTGCAAAGCTGTATGCTGAAAGGTATGAAGACAGGGAGGGGAGGACAGTTTGAGCCAATAACGCAATCTGTTACAATCCCAATGTAAATCTTTTCTTTCCCAAGTAAAACATTCCTGGTAAATTGAGCCGGGTGTTAGATGCAGGTTACCAGTGACTACAGTGCTGTGACTGCTGTTTCCTTGCCTTCCCTCAAACACATTTGCATATGTTGTGGTGTAATGCAAAGAGCAATGTGGACAAGCAGTCTGAAGATACGTGGCCCACTCTAGAACCTCGCAGCTCTGTGACCTTGGGAGGGTCCTTTAAGTTCCCCATCTGTGAAGTGGGGATTAGGACATCGACTGCGCAGGATACTTAGGAAAATCAAGCCAACAAAGGTGCTTTGTCTACCATAACGAGCCATGTCAGGGTGAGTGCGCTATCTCCTGGAATCTGAGGGGCTGCCAGAGACCCCGCCTCCTCTGCAAAACAGAGTTTGGGAAAAAGGGCTCAAAGCATAGAGGGGAAGGGGAGGGAGAACTGGCTTCCCGCTGGGACCACGGGCTTCTCGATAAAGTGTCCTCTGTTAAAAAGAGAGATAAAGCCATAAAATCATTCCTTGTTTTTCTTTTGTTC